TTTTGTGGTCTGCTTTCATTCTATATGATCTATTGTTCTGGTAGTAGCTGTAGACTTTTTGCCGTCTTAATGCCTTCTGGAGTTCGTTGTGGTAAAGTAAAGCGGAAGTTTTTCAGACTGCACCACCACTTGTTGGTCGTCTAGTGCCATTCTGTGCAGTTGCAGTAGCAAATTCCATCAATATCCCAATGATGAGATCAAAGTACATCTTTTGCGTCGTTTTACTGTTGTGGTGTCTTTGGTAATTTATTCCTTTTAAATTTTTCAATTAATTAAAATATTATTACATTTGCAGGGAACTGATAGAAGGTATCGATTTAATGGATGAAAATGGTAATAAAGTTGGAAAAAGTAAAAAGATAGCATACCAGGCTATTTCTAAGGTTGTTCTTAGCAGAATTGGGATGGCTTCACCGACATTTGGTTAGTTTTTCAAGTCAAGCTCTGTTCTGAAGACTAATTTTTTAGAATAAGGTTACTTTCATGAGGGTTATTTCTTTTACTTCCTCCTTGAGTAGGTGAGTGTCCGTTTTCTTACATTTGGCTTTTCTGGTGAACATGCACATTTGTTTGAATTAAAAAAATGTTTCTTTTAGTATGCATACCCATTTTCATGAACTGGTGTGTGAAAACGCAGTGGTACAAGGTAGGTTGTATTTCTAAAATAAATATGTAACACTTATATTTTTTTCTTTTTAAAGTGGCATTAGAAGAACTCTGCAGGAGATGTGGCTTTTGATATTGCTGTTTATTTGTAGGCCCGACCGTGGGTTTCAGCACCACTTCAAGCCGCTATAGCTGGTGTTGTATTAGTTTTTTCGACACCTTTATGTTGTGCAATTTATCCTCAGATGAGTCCAGTAGATGTTAAAAAGCTGGAACCGGAAGTACGGGAAAAAATAAGCAAACTTCCCAACTCGCCTCGGACTGTTTACTGCAACAAGGGTCTCTAATTGAACACAAGGAACTTTTTTCTTGAAGAACTGATAACTTGTTGAGTATCTTTCTCTACTGATACTGTCTAGAGTAAAGGAAGTAGTCAGAGTGCTTTAGTCATCGTTCTTTGTTTCCCTCAACTCGCCTGTCACAGAAACATTGATAAATTTATTTTAAAAAATTCTCTCCCCGATAGTTTTTAGAAAGCTTTTGAGGTTAAATTCGTAACATGCTATATTCGCTCTGAAAGTTGTTTCACTTTAGTGACCTCGTTATTGTACTGTTGTGGCATTCCTTAGAATTATAGTTATTTGACGGTTAAAATTCTTCTATGTGATATTAAAGTGCACTACTACAATGATATTTTCATTTACAAAAATTCGAGAAAATTTCGCTCCGGTTAGCTTTCACGTTTTTAAAAAGTAAATTTTAATGCTTCAGTTTAACAGAGAAATGTGATTTTAAGAATCATATAGAAATAAAAAGAGTAGTTACTGGGAATAAAGTCTTCTTTTATATAAGATGGTTTCAACGGTTACGCTTCGTGGCCTAGTTTTTGTTTTCAGAAACTTAGCTTCCCGATTCCTTCTGTTCGATAGATTTGCTTTAAAGTGAAAGGTTTGGAACTGGAGAGGTTGCAAGTCATTTTCATCTAATTTTTTCTACCCAACGCTTCTTTGCTCTGCAAAACTTAGTTGTTACTTCCTTTCACTCAGTCATCGCCATTCGTGCCCATTAGGTTTTTATTGTTTAAATAATCCACTTCTTTCAACGTCATCAAGTTACTTTCTTCGATCTAAATTTATCAGTGGTCTCGTCGTGGGACTAGTTTCTTCCTCCCAGTTGTCTTTGCAGTTCTAAGATCAGCGCAACGGCAAACGAGAGGCCAAAGCTTATTTTTCCTTGCAGGAATTACACGCTAAGATTCTTTTTAGATCGACTGATTCAATTCTGGTGCTTTAAATAAAAGAGGAAGATTACTTAATCAAGTTACGTATACCTTTAAATTAGACGTTTCAGACTGTGAGTTGCTGTTCTATGCTTCTTCCTTTGTCAAGTGTTTGAATTTGCAGAGATTAAGGTGTCCGAAGTGGTCACTTAGTCATATGCAATGATTATTCATTTGGCTCTAGCCGACCTTGTTAAAAGTAGATAAGCCTATCAAACCTTTAAAGAGTAGGTGAAATGTTAAATGCGGCGAATTTATCGTTTTCCTGTCACTGTTCGAAACTGGTAACCTGATAAACAAAAAGTTTTGGACTTCCTGGTTTCTCATTACAATTGCCACGGACACACACAAAACAGCAAATTTAAGGTTAAGGGTGGTTAACCACTGTATATTCCCTGAGGGGAGGCTCTCAGAATTACAACAGAAAGGACCAATCCAGGGGTCGCTCAGGTGTATAAATAGGCAATGGAACTGAACATCTTTTAATGACATTATTTTCCAAATTGGATTTCGATTGATATCTTTCTTCTCTTACGGTTATGCGCTTCACTGTTCTATCAAGTGCCGATAGGCAGATTGTAGTTATTGTGTGTGTTGTTATTAATATAAGTAACTGTTTTTATATTATTTCTTATTGATTGGTTGTCTGCGCTAAGAAGTGTGAATAAGTACTAAGACTGCTCTCTTTAAGTTTATATTTACTGTATTATTACGCAGCGTGGGAAATAAACTGGTAAATCTACATATTCATCTTTGACACAAATAAGTCACAACATGAGATCCGCGTGTTCAGCGGAACGGCAACGGCTATGGTAAGCTCTTCCTTATCAGCTGAGTAGTTGGTGCTGCTACTGGCGAGGGCTAATTACGCTTACAATAACAGCTTGTAGAAATTAGGTGCCATATTCTTTCAAAAAGAGGAAACAAGACGTCCGGCCTCCAATTTTAGGAAACTTGATGTTAGCTGCATCAGTGATCCTTTAACGTACCTTTCCTCAGCACTGATTGTTGGCAAAATATTTTTCCAGAAATTATTTCTTGAAAGATCAACTTGGGATAAAAATTTGTTATTAACCCTTCCTAAGGGCAGGAAACAAATATATCTTGAATGTTAATCAGTTTTTTTTCCGCATCTGCCGACAATTCTGTTAGTGAACTTCAAGGGAGCTGAAATGCAAGTTTCTACTGACATTTCTGAAAGAGCAAATTCTGCTGCCGTATACTTGTTCGTCGATGTGGGTTATTGTTGGGGAACGTCACTAGTATTTGTCGGATCGCACTTCAACCCCTTGAAAGACACTTTTCCGCCCAGGATAGAGTTTTAGACACGCTCATTGTTGTACGCTCCATGGGTTTTGTAGTGCGTGAATCCTGACTTCAGTCTTTTAAAAGTTTTTTGTAATGTAACTTGAAATGAAATCCATAAAATGGAATTTTTCCGCAAAATTTTCAGTGATTATTGAAAACCGAATAGACAAGATAAGAGTGGTAGAGAGGTCAGCTACAGATTTATTAAAGGTAAAGCGAGATCGGATGATTTGTCTTTGAGAAGCTGCACCCCATATTTTTTAGGTGCGCACAGATTCTGATGGAACAAACCACATTGTTCGCTAACGGAAGAGTACTTTGGGATACTATATAACATTAAAAGAGCCCTCATGTCTCGACCGCTTCCTACAAACACTTGAAATACATTTATTGGTTCCCAAGAAGACATCTTCGTAAAACATCGACACTCGTGTCTGGGTCTTATTCGGTTGGATTGTCGCCATTTTGTTGTCTTTTACAAAAGAAAATTTGGAGCAAATTCAGCCATGGAGGAAGGGGACAGTTAAATGAAAAATCAAATTTTCAGGAAGAATGCGGACCTGAGGGGAAGTCGTCGTTGGGGAAGTTTAAGAGCGGCCGAGCAAGTTATTCGTAAGCAGTCCGAGCAGAATGTTTTTTTTGACGTACCAAAATGGTAGGAAACCAAAGTGATCTATTTTACAGTTTGGTCTTACAGCCTCGAATGATATCTGACAATGCTTCTGTGGCTTTTATACTACAATTCAGAAGGAGAGTCTCGTTTCCTCATTTTTTAAGGCTTGAATGTTTTCAGCCACTAGTTACGTTCAGAAAAAAATCAATGCCTGGTTTTATCTGTTTGCTCACTTCTCTGATTATTAATTTCAAAATCGTTGAGAACTTGAATTCTGAAATGTTTTTGAACTCTTTTTGTTTTACGTTTTACTTTTCTCCTATCAGCGTCAGTTTTATGAAGATGTAATTGCTTCCAAAGGTGCAAATGAGGTTTTAGGGATTTTTGTCATGAGTAGCTCGCAATTTTTTAAGTTTAAAAGTTTTTTCTTTTTGTAAGATTTTTTGGCATTTTATTACCCCATATCATCTTGGAAAGGTGACCATTTTGAAAGATTAATTGACATTGTCAGGAAATGTTAAAAAAACAACAGTTGGTAGGGAATTTCTGATTTTAGAAGGAACAATTCAGCACGTGTGAGCAGTCGATTCCTTCCGGCTCTCTACGCACTTCTATGGTGACTTGCATGCAGTTGTTTTTCGACTCACAGACCATTTTTCTGTACGTTTCAGTTCTCGCTTTTAATTCAAATAATCTAGTAGTGAAAAATTTATTTTACGTACCATCAGCTGAAAAAGTCCAGTTAATGGGGAATTTCAAAGAAACACCGACCGTGTTCTTTGAATTTCGGTCTTTCTGGAAGATTAAGTACTTTAAGCCTTCATGAAAAACACTAAGCTATTCAGCAGCGGCCAAGGTTTTTTGTCAAAATTATCTCCAAAATTAAGACAAATTGTACTCATTGAAGGTAAGGATGGTCGACGAAATGGATGATACTCAGCAGAACTGAGTAGGTAATAAATCACTTTGATGGAGAAGCTGAACGGTCAAATTTACGTCAGCCAATGGCGTCACATTAGAACGACCAATGAGACATGTGCACTTCTTAGAACTAGACAGTTAATCATCAACTTCATCTACTTATCGCAGCATTTTTCTTTCTTTTTAGGTACTTATTATCACTGTAACTCTCAGTAATAAAATGTCTCTCCTTCTATAGATCTTTATCTGTTTGTACTTCCTCGTCGCTTCTTCAGTAGTTCCACCAACTTTTTTCACTCTGCAGTTGAAGCTTGTATTCTGCTGATGTAGGTCGCTTTCTTGCTTCATCTTCTAGTTCGTTTCTTTAGCCTCCCTACGATCCGTTACGTGACAGTCCAGTTGTCTGCCTTTTCATGTTGCCTTGAGCTAAAGTGATTTTAACGTGGTTTTGGTCAAATATGCGTTAGCAAGCATATTAGATCTTTTCGCGATTGCTAGAAGATGGGAGTGGGCTACATTTTATCCCTGAGGCATTTTTTCCTCTCTTTCATAAAGATTTCTTCCACCGTCGTTTGTTGGGAACTTGTCGCAGATGCGGCACAATTTCAAATTTGAGAAACTTTACCAGGGAATTAGCATTAGAAAAGAATAACACTTGCACCAAAAAGATTTGTGTTTGGTGTAACAACAATTTACACTCTGTATTTGGAGGACTTTCGAGAACATACACGTCAGAACAGTCTTAAAAAATATTTTTCAAAATTAAATTTTTTTGCTTTTTCTTAACAATAAATTTCAGTGAAAAGCAAGTGTTTTAATTGTTCTTTCACTGCATCTTTGATCCTAAAGTTTATAGAATTTTTTTTTCTTTGTGATGCATTTTTGTGCACTATAGCGAAAGTTTAAGGTCTTTTTTTTTCGTTTACATTTTGGTCTATCATTCGTTTTTTTGTTTCATCTTATCCGTTAATTAGTTTTTTTTTCTTTTGAAATATTCATATGTATATAATTATTTGAAAATAACGTAGCCTTGACTCATAAATGCTAGGACATTTTTTTGCTTAGTCCATATCGAATTAATGCCAAATGTCACTAATTTGGTAATATATAGCAACATTTTTCTTTTGTTTGTTGTATGGTTTTGTATTCCTCCTTTATATTGCCTAGTTCTGTGTCGTGCGATCACTGAGTGTACACAAGTGAGCTTCTATTGTAAAGGTTTAATTTCTCACATCTGGAATCTAAAAATGCTAGGAATCAGTATCAGTTCCGCGTGATGTCCTAGACGTTCCTCAGGAATTCTATCGGCGACGGAATTTTTAAAATTATTGAAGAAGGTGAACGAAGGACTGACAAAGCGACCATTCCTTCTTTCAAAGCGCTCTCCAAATAGCCCGTCTAACTAAAATAGGGCGGGACTTCTACTTTATCAGAATTTGAACTGTCTAAAACCTTGCCTATTACAAAGCAACAGTAACAATAACCTTAGTAAGCACAAAACAATAATGGTAAGTTTAGGTAATTGTTGTCTTGTATACTGATAATTCTTTGTTTTTTTAAAAAAGTTCAAATTATTTTAAAATGGGCATTTACTTTAGAACAAGTAAACCATTGGCTTTTTTTATTGCTCCTAAATCACGATTAAAATTTCCCATGCAGAACTTTGCAGTACAGGAAGAAAGGAGAAGTAACAAAGTATAGGAAGAGTTGAATTAATGAAGAAAAGAAAATCGGTCATCATAAGCTCAAGTTTTTCGAGTCCACCACTGTGGTACACAAACGGGTTTGAGGAGAAACTTACATCAAAACCTGAACTGGATCGCTGATATGGAAAAAAACAAGGGAGAAGATAATTTTTATACCTTCAAATAATTTTTTTTTTCAATATAAGCGAATATCTGATTAAATTGCTGAAATTAAGGATTAGCTCTTTATCACTGCAAAAAGTACTAATCTCATTCGATAATACAAGTTGTAAAACCGTGGTTGCTTTTTTTACAATAGCTGATCCTTTCTGAACACCGGTTTGGCTGTCGATTTCCCATTACAGTTTGTTCTCAAATAGGAAAACTTAGCACAGTTTAGTCCTGGCGCTTCGATAAAAAAATTATGACTTAAAATGAATGATGATGCCCTCTCCAATCACTAGGCTAGGCTAGACATCCCGGCAGTCTTGTCCATTGACGGTCCCAGCTCGCTGATTGGCTTGTTGATTTTTGGTGGGAAATTTGAGGAACGGTCGGAAACAAAGGTAAGGGGAGAGCAGCAAAGTGAAGGAGACGGCAGCGGCGACGCAACTTTCTTACTCACATACTTGTTTATGTATATCTTAAAACGCTCGTATGCCTGCAGCGCTCTTACTTTTCGTGCTTCAAATCGGCTAATCTTACAATGTAGCGCTGCTGCACCTCCTGGCTCTGCTTATATGTACCTTCAAACGTTCGTATAATTATAGTGATGTGGCGGATGGCATTGCTTGCACTTTTCATGCCACTGCTTCTGATTTCCAGTCCGTAACTGTGATTCTAGCATCGGAAAAGATTGTTTGTCGCATGCTCGTTCCCCCCTTGACAAGTCACCTTAATTGTCTTCTTCCTTATAAAACGGAATTGATGAAGAAAAGATCAGTTCAAAGTATTTGTGTTGGTGTAGATTGTCTACTCTCTCTTAAACGTAGGACTATGGGGGAGAAGCTCGCTCTTTTGGACAAAGACTTTGAGGTGTAGATAGTTTTCCTGCAGTTACTTGTTATGGTACATGCTTGTTTTTTTAAGACGAGGATGACACTTAGTACTGAGATAAAAAAAGGGGAGGGTTGAGGAGAACCGGTACTTTAGGTGCAAAAAAAGGGAGTGCCGCAAGAAAGTGGGTTTCTATAGCAGTACATTTCTCAAACACTAAGTTGAGTTTTTGAAGATGTCTTTTCCCTATCTTCGTATTGGGGCTTACAAACTCTGAGGGCTTACATGCGAGGACAAAGCAGCGGAAATGCTTGGTAAAATGTTGCCCCAGGTGTTAGGTCAATTACACTCTTAAAGATCATACCCTGAGGATCTCCGAGAGTACCACACTGACTCAGCTATAAAAAAAGGTTCTTCTGTCCCACTAAGTAGTTGGTTTTTTGTCTATCCTGCTTATTCTTGTTTCAAACTTCTATTACTCTTACTACGAGACCGTCTGTTTATTTTCTTTTTTTATACTGATTTCTTATTAATCCTATTCCATTAATTTTTTGCCTGTTGAGTATTGCATTATGTTTGTACTTTGTCTACCTACTAGCCAACAAAAGTAGGTGCACTAGAAGACATAAAGGTGGCCAGTCGAGCAGCAAGATCCTGCTACCCTTCTGTCACTGATCAGGCAGTATATTGTTCCAGGAACAATTATAGTGCCTGACCAGTAAGCTGCATACAGTACCATCAAGGACATGCCAGAGGGATACCAGCATGAGACTGTCAACCAAAATCTCGACTTTATTGATCTTGAGACCACGAATAACATCGAGTCTCTATGGCATAAATTCAAACAGGGGCATAAGTCAGGTTATGGGACGGAAAGGACACCGTTGAATTCGTATGTGGACGAATTCGTATGGAAAAAATATATGGAGGTTTGCTTGGACTTTGATCAATTATAATAACTTAATTTTGAGTGAATTTTTAGTGGGCCTTTACCAAACCTGTACTATAAACTTTCCCTTTAAACTCCAATTTTTGCCTTATTTAAATCCCAGAATAAATCCATTTATGTCGGACTGAACCTTCAGTCCAATTTTATGGATGATTTGGTGTCTGAAAAGGTGTTAAAGAAGAAATTTTATTTTGCTGCGGGAGACAAAGAAAAGTGAAGAAATTTGTATAAAGAAGGGTCGAATGTAACTTATGAGATTGAAGGAGTAGCGGTAGATGTTGGATTAGAAGCGGCGTTCATATATACCAAGCGAGATTAGAATGGAGGCATTAAAGAATCTAATTATAGATTGAAATAAATTTAGACGAGTAAGCAAATTTAAAAATTGCAAATTTAATAAAAGATTTTAATTTAATCTGAAGATGCAGCTGGCCTGTCCAATGGAGAATACCAAAACTGCTTTAGAGAAAATTTTGAAGAATACTAAATTTTCAAATTTCAATTTAGGTTTTTGATATCAAATTAAAATAATAAAAGTTTTAAAATTTGAAGGGGTTTGCTAAGTAAGTTATGTTAAATATTGTAAAGAATTTTATAATTGAAAAAAGAACTTCCACAGGAAGCATTGCGCTTTACCACTTCTGGTCCCAAAGAGCGGAACAATGTTCACCGTCCCCAGATTCCGTTTGAAAGTGCAGGCTTTATCCATCGGCTCCTGATCGGTCTGCTTTGTGAGGGTCCAATTTTTAGAAAGTCCCTCGTATAAGGTGCGCTAATGCAGCTTTCCTTTCACGTCTTTCGACCAAAGAGAAGCGAAATAAGAGTATAAAGGTAACATCAGAATAAATGCTCAGCTACACGCAAAACTCTCTTTTTTATCCCTGACGGGAACAAACCACCAACCTCTACCCGAGGTGCTGCAGGACGCAATACTGCAACCCCCACCAGTCAATTCAGGTGCGGCTCCACAAACTGTTCTTCACTGCTCAGCAACCTCTCCCCATTGATTTTGCTACAAACGGTTAAACCCGTCCATAATGTCTCACAGTTTTTTGTAAACCTGCAACTGCGGAGTGTATGTTGAGTCGACAGCGACGTCGCTCTAGCTGCAACTTGCCCCTCCTCCTCAAGTGTATGTACTGGGTCCTAAATCGACAAGAGCTCCGGCACCCTACCAAAATAATCTCATGTCATTAAGCCATAAAAAATTTCCGCTCCTTATCCATTTCTCCAGAGGCTGCTTTTTTGAGGGATATGCCTTTGACCGCAAGACTTGAAGGAGCATTTGGCTTTTAATTTAGTCGGTGCTAATGAACCTATTTTTTAAGGGGCAAAAATCAGAAGGAGACGGAAGTGAAGGGAAGAGTAAGAAAGTGACAACATAAGAAAGCTGGCTTTTAGCTGCGCAGATAGTGGTAAGGAGCGCATCTAAAGGTTTCAAAATTTATCATTTTTTTTGAGTGTTTTTCTTTCCATTGTTTTTATGAAGCAAAAGAAAAGGAGGGTTTTTTGCGCCTTCCCCTTATTGTTCAATAACTGTTCACTGTGACTTTCCTGGTTGGTCTGCCACCAACGTTTACTGCCATGCGGGTCTCCAACATTCAACAACAAAACGTTTACTTCAAGATCGACAGTACAACACGCAAATTGACCTCAAACTTGGGTGATTAAACTTTTTATATATTATAAAAACAGCATAAAAAACGCCAATTTATCAATATAAACAAAACCAGTCACGAAATTGACATAAAACAAAAAAAAATTACTTCTTCTTTCCACCTGCTGTCGTGCGTGGACTTTCTTATATAGCCTGCTCCAACGGGTTATCATCCTCTGCTTTATCTTCTTTCTCGCCTGGTTTAAACTTGAAGGTGTCGGGATCGGACCCTCTTTTTCAGTATTTTCCTGATAAATCATATTGGTTACTCCTAAGGTTTCAGGGAGCGTCTTTTCTTCGCCTTTTGGCGACAGTTTTTTTTAATTTAGTTAGCGTATTTTTCGTTCCCTGTACCGTCTGTATAGTTTCATTCCCGTTGTATGTATATGTTCGGGTTCCTGTAGTAAAAGGTCCCAATTACGCAGTTTTGAAATCAATAAATTCTTGAAAATGCGAATCGGCCACAAGTGGCTGGCTAAATATGGCTCGAGAGTTTTACTGGCAACAAAACCCTGGTTTTACTGAAAAACAGGAGATGGAGTGCTCAGCAAAACGACAGATCTCAGAAACCACTCGTTTTTCTTTAAAAAACCTTTGAATCACAATTTTGTGTTGGTACACTTCATTTTTTAACATCGTTCTTTTTGCCATTCTTTTTTGCAAAGTTCATCTCCAAATTTTGATTCCAATTTTAGTCTGAACTTCAAGCCACTTATTCCTTAGATGTAATCTCCAACTCCCTGGATTTTTGCCTGCAAATCTCATATATTGCTCCATTAGCTAGCGCACTCCTCCACTTGATATCTCAAATTTTTTTTAGATTTAGCTGTTTAATAGAGCTTAGATCAATAAGATCTCAAAAGGTGAATTACCCGTTGAAGTTACACCCCCTCAACGATGCAAACTTTGCCAGTTTACTCCTCGGCGCGCTTATATTATGCAACTTGTAATTTAGTTTACATTTAATGTAAATAGGTTTTGAGTTTTTTAAATTTTCAGTTTTACTCTCAAACACGTATTAAACTGTTTAATTTCCTGAATAGTTATATAGATACAGTAAGAAAAAGATTTTAAATAAAAGTATTAAAAAAAACACTACAAATTCTTAGAAGAGAAGTATATTTTTTGCAGAATTTTTGACTCTGTAAAATATCAAGAGTTGATGGTAGCTCTCTTTGGAGTCAAAAAATACGTCGGGAGGAATGCGAGCTTGAAAAAACCTATAGCTTATACAAAAATCCGTTTCAGTTTGAAGTGTCAAAATCGTCCTCAGCCGCTTCTGAAACTCACAGAAAGTAGTGGTAAAAACTAGGGGTTTTACTTGTTGAAGGTTTGTTATAAAACTCATATTTTACTCCAAGATATCAAGAAATTATTTTGCAGACGCAAGAAGTATCACTTGTCCCAATGTTTTTTTGCTTCCCAAACGTTGTGGTTACGGTTAATAAGGGTTAGCCAAGATTAGTTAGAGGGCATTTTGCGAAAAGGAACAAAGGCTCTGATGATGTTCGATGTAATAACAACTTTGCAGAACAGCAGGTCTGTAGGCCAAGTAAGCATGAGACACAGAAATTTTTACTTGAAAAAAAAAAAAAAAAAACGTGCTTTACTGTAAAATTTTAGAAGAGTGTAGCTCGGCCGGAAATTTACCTTTTTAGATTTCTCTCTCCGTTTTTTTTTAGATACCAGCTTACGTTTTGATAACCAACAAAATCTCAAAAAAATTTTTGAAAAAGTGTCCCACTTGACTCCGAATGGCCAATCACATGAGGCTTGCGGAAACAAAATTTGTAAAGGATGTGACAGTTCAGTCAAACTGTTGAATGCAATAATTAAGTTGTCTGCATAGATGCATTAATTTATATTTTAGAAAAGAATGGTGATTTTCTTCATATGCACTGTTCTTATGCTAGATCCAAACAGTGATTCACTAAAACTGTCATTGAGAACGGACTCAATTTAATTTCAAATGCGATTCTAGAATGATAAACTTTTAAATTTCTCTAACTTGAAGCCAACTTTGCACTCGTTCGGCCTCAAATGAGTTAACTTTTACCAAGCCACCACATTAGCACTTATATAAACTTCCTTAGTCCTCGTAGGCCTTTGCTCATGTAGTTACCTCTGTAGTATAGTTGAGACTACCGGACCACCTTTTTCAGTGAGGGAGCGCATGCAGTACAACACCCTACCACCCCATTTCCTCGATTCTATATACTTCGCCACTGCAAACAATCAGTAACGCCGACGTTTACAGCCGTAGCATAGTCTTTAGAAGACTGTGGTTTTCAACGAATTTGCGGATGAAGGCTAACTATCTTACCTCATCCGTGCTAAGTGCAGACTTAACCCAGAAGGGGCTTAGATTGGGTAACATATGCATGATTAATAATGGTCACCAAATTGAACAGGCAAAACTGCTCTGAAATACCTTCCTTTAACTTAATCTGACATCCTTTAGTGCCCTTTCAAAACCAACTTAACTTACCATCTGACCGAGTGTCACCGTAAGGCCAGGCTCAAGACCACACTTAGCGACTTTGTCTTTTAGCGTGTGGTCACAATACAGATGTAAGCATTACTGCACAAGATTCTGAGGAGTACTCCAGTAGTTGATTTGTTGCCTGCTTAAACCTCTGAAGTCCACTTGTGAAATCAATTCAAAATGAATCCAAATCAACTATCTTCAATATTGATAACTTACATGCAGTAAGAGCACTAAAATATTTCCGAATGCGAAGTCTTCAGCTTCATTTGGTTCAACAGGTAATCAGAAATGCGCGATTACTGATTGCCGATATCTAACAAAATATGGGTCTGCGTCTACTCTTCGCTTGCAAACACTTGCTCTGTTAATATAACAACGTGATTCAGTGACCTGTTCTTCATATCAGCATTACTGGGACGATTCCTCAAAACTCAGCTGCTTCTTCACAGCTTATTCAAGGAAATTTAGAGTCAATTTTCCAGCACGACTTTGAAAATATATCATCGAATAACAAAATTCCTTTGAATTACTCAAGCTGGTGTCATGACGAAACATTTAGAGGGTAGTACCAAAACTCTTCCCATTCGAATGGAGTATAGTAGTTTCATTCGGAAGCAGCATTTTCAAACTGAGTTGATTATGGAGCTGAAATATTTCTCGTCCCTTCGCCATGTGCAAAACTTGTATCAAAGTGAAACCTAGTCTCATCTAATATCCTTTACCCTTTCCTACAATCGGCAGGAAGTTATTACCCACGTTCATTTACTCAGCTAAACAATCGTCTTTGTGATTTGAGAGCATCTGTGCTTACTTTTTTTGGCTTTTACTGTTCACTAATCAACTGTGTTTCCTTTCAGTATCA